TTGTCAAAGTCCAAGGATGCTACTCCATCACGAAGAAATAACATTGACCATTCATGCTTAGCAAAGAGTCAACTACCTGGTCCACTTGGCAAATTTGGGGTGCAACTTTGAACTTCATTTATATGTCAAMGTATATATCATGAAGTAGTCAAGTCTTGTCTAATATGAATAATAATCAATAACTAAATAGAAAAATATTTTAAAACACAGAGACATGACGCTAAGGCATTGCTCTACCTAGAAGCGTGAGGTGTAGTTCAGAATGTAAAAGGTGCAAGCCTCCTTAAGAGGAGGGGCAGAGGAAAGAGGAAGAAGAGAAGGGAGGATCTCATCTTTCTTTATTTTTAATAATAATATTTTATATTAAGAACYAAGAAGAATGAAGATGCATAACACCAACTGAATGGAGGTATCGAAGTGGAGGCAAGCGAGCCAGAGCAGAGCAAAACCCCCCTAGACCAAAAAAAATAGCAAAATTGAGCTGGCATTGRAAACTGAAAAGGATTGGGGTCTGGACTTGGTCATTGAGCTGGCATTGAAAATTGAGCTGGCAAAACCCCCGCTCATTTTTCCTCATCAAAGCCAGTATTGCATGGACTTGGTCATGGGAATCGGAGCCAGACGTGTCTGAAAGTCCAACTTGGCAAGCCCAAAAAAGTGGAACCCAAGGACACATCTCATATAAATATTATTTTATTATACTAAATATTATTATTTTCCAGTTATTCTTAACATTATAGGACTSTATAAGCATGACAACTTAAATAATTAAAGGGAGTAATATTTAAGGTCTGATCTTTTAGGCCAACTTCATGATCCATGGCACATTTTCATCCCTTTAACCAGTTCACAGGTGAGACAGCTGTGGGACATCAACGCACTAAATTTCATATTTGTTATATAAAAAAATAGAAAACTTTATAATTGACAATTCACAGGTAACAAGATTATAGCCACATGAGCAACATTTTTAGGGTGGGAATACTGTATGCAACTTAATATTATTTTATTCGTTAGTATAAGATAACCGATAAAACAAAATATCATGTCGTATCTCAAAAGTGAGAAAGAGGCATGCCAGCTTTCCGGTTGAAACCAACAACCTAGGTAAGATCAGAAAGTTGGCCGTGCAAGTTCTTTACCATGGCATTCATGTCCCACATCAATGAAATATAAACATAAAAATTTTTTATGATTACATTTCATTCAATTAACAACAAACAACCAAGAAAAGCACAGGTATGGACAGTCACAACCTAAAATAAGAGACTTTGAAGTGAGGATTGAAATTTTTATGACTTCATACAGTGGGTGTGCTGATAGATTCATCTTATTTGTTGTGCAACTTGATTGGGTCGGATTTTAACAAGTCGCATGGGAGGGGGTGCATGCAGTACTGATCAAACCATGGTTAGGTGCCTTTGTAATTTGAGTAATGCCCATAATCAGTTTGCAACTCAAACAAATGAAGCACAAAAAAAGACATTATCTTCTAATAATCTAAAAACCCACTAAAGAGCGTACCTGTAAGGATCCATTCCAGTTGTTGCAAATGCCGCAATGGCTCTAGTTGTGATGTCATTGATAACTTGATGCAAATGCCGAGACAAGTAACGCCCTTGGGATGAAAAATAAATARCAAACTTCATGTCCAGATAGAACTGTACAAGTATCCACAAAGTAAATTGAAGGTCAGGCCTTTCATCAAACAAATGAATGACAGAATCAAGTATCTGGAATTTAATTTATAAACCTGTTGAAGGCCAAGAGAACCCAAAGGCCTAGGTCCATCTTCAATATCATCCCAAAAGCTTTGATCATTTGAAAGCCATAAGATAACAGTTTCTGTAAGTCTCATCAACAGCAGTGTAGCAAATCTTTCCCTTCCTACAAACATATCTGCAGCTATACTTGCCATCCTATTAAGTTTTAGAAAAAGATCCTGAACAGTTGCAAGAACAATATAATAAGKATGCTGAACCATAGAAGTTTGACCTCAAAAATAAGAAAAAGAAAAATATGAGCAAGAATCCATCAGAAGTAAAAGCATGACGCCAATATTTTTATAGAATACTAATTAATCTTTTAAAATAAGAWGTCAACAAATTACAGTATAAAAGTAGAAATATAGAACACATTAACAAAGGAGAATTTCAAATAGTGGACTACTTCTAGAAGAAAGTAAATGACAAGGACATATTAGGGTGCACTCATTGCCAGAGATCTCAGCAAACTCATGAAACTTGTTAGAATCTCCACGGGAAGCTGAAGTGGGCTCTGGAGTTGAGTAAGAAACAAGGTTTAGATCAAAATAAGAAACTAGGACAGTAGGGTCCAAGGAAATTCAAMGCACCAAATATGGCTTCTCGGAAGACTCAGCCCTCTGCTACTACTGTGAGTCAAAGATGTCCATCTGGCTCTAATCCTTGGAAAGATATCATTAATTCCTTCTGTGACCATTTGGAGTTGTATAGTAGGGTAATTCGTCAAATGGATTCCACCCCTCCTCCCAAAACTTCCTTTGTGACTATATCAAGTAACTCTGCCACAACTTTCCATGTGTTTGCTCATTCCTCCAACTCTCCTTGGATAATTAATTCTAGGGCCTCAAACCATATGACTGGTAGTCAAATTATTTTCAATCCTATCATCTTCTTTTTAGCAAGCACAAGGTGAGACTAGTTGATGGTTCGCTCTCCACCATTGTTGGTCAAGGAACCATCTCCCTTCCCTTTGACCTTACTCTTTCTAATGTTTTGCATGTTCTAGAATTGTCTATTAATTTGTTTTTAGTTGGTAGTATTACCAATTCGTTAAATTGTTCAATGACCTTCTTCCCTTCTTGTGTAATACAGGATTTGACCTCGGGGAAGACGACTGGTAGAGGTAGTATGGTGGATGGGCTCTACATGTTGGAGAATAAGGCTAGTCTTGCAATCACAAAGTCTAAGAGTTAATCTAATAAGAGTCAAGACTATCTGTGACATATTTGTCTTGGTCRTTTTATCTTTTGAGTCATTGAAAATTTTGTTTCCAAAAATGTTCAAGTCAATGTCAATGTCAGATTTTATATGTCAAACTTGTTAGCTGAGTAAACATTGTAGAACTTATTTTTCTTCAAGAAATAATAAATCTGAATTTCCTTTCCATATTGTTTATTCTGATGTTTGGAGCCCTATTACTTTGCCTTTTGAGACTAGCAACAAGTACTTTATTACAGTTATTGATGACTACTCTAAATATACATGGGTGTATCCCATGCAATCCATACATGAAGTGCCAAAAATTGTAAAAGATTTTCAATGCATGATCTTCACTCAATTTCAAACTAAAATCCAAATCTTCAAATCCGACAATGCCAAAGAATATTTTCATAGTTATCTCATAGAGTTTCTTGCTTCGTGTAGATCCCTTCACCGCATCTCTTGTAAACAAACACCCYAACAAAATGTCGTTGCTGAAAGAAAAAACCTCTATCTTCTTGAAGTTGCTTGTGGATTACTAATACATATGGATGACCCAAAATGGTTTTGGCTAGAGATTGTTTTACATGTTGCATAAATCATTAACCTTATGCCATCTCATTGGTTGGAGTACAAGGCCCCACATCAACACTTGTTTCCCAAGTCTCCATTATTTCCTATTCTCATACATGTGTTTGGTTATCGTTGTTTCATTCAAGACATGTCTCCCACTCGTGGTAAACTAGATCCTTGTGTTATTCCCTGTGTTTTTCTAGGATATCCCTCTTCTTAAAAGAGATATTAGTGCCTTGATCCTATTTCCCAGAGCCAGAAGTACTATGTTTCTATGAATGTTTCCTTCTTTGAGAGTCACCCTTTTTTCCCTATTTCTCCTCAAGGGAAAAGTAGGAATGAGGAGAAACATGCTTAGGTTCAGCTCCCTCCTCTTCTTGTTCCTCCTTCCTTCCGTGTTTTCTTTCATTGTCAYAAAGGCCAGGAAAGTGTGAACATTCCTAAGAATGTGGCAAAAGCTCTCTTAATGCCTGAATGAACAAATGCAATGAAAGAAGAGAYCAATGCTTTACATAAAGTGTGCAGGTTAAAGAACTCCTTATATGGCTTAAACGAATCACCAAGGACTTGGTTCAATAGGTTTCATTTARCCATGCAACAAAAAAGGCTACAAACAATGTCAGTCTGACCATACATTGTGAAAAGAAAGGAAAGTAAAATTGCAGACCTAATAGTATATGTTATAATGATATAGTTACCATCRGTGATTGGAAATCTAAAATTCAGAACTTGAATGAGTTCCTTGCTACTCAATTTGAGGTGAAAGATCTAGATCCGTTAAGGTATTTTCTTGGATTTGAAGTTGCGCACTCACAAAAGGGGATCTTCATTTCACAAAGGAAATGCATACTAAATCTATTAAAAAATTTAGGAAAATTGGGGGTGAAGCCAGTTGACTCCCCATTAATCCAAATCACAATTAGGTAACTATCATGGTGAAATTGTCAAAGATGTTATGCAATTTCAGAGACTTGTGGGAGGACTCTTATATATGTCCATAACCCGGCCAAGCAATGCTTATGTTGTGGGTGTTCTTAGTCAGTTCATCCATGCCCCTAAGACCACCCACTTAGAAGTAGCTAAGAGAATCATCAAATATCTTAAGAAATTCCCATGTGCTAGTTTCTTGTTCTAGAAGCATGGGTATTTGAAGGTTAAAATGTATACAGATGCAAATTCAGGTACGATCAATTGATGACAAAAACCCACCAATGTTACTATACCTTTTTGGGAGGGAACCTAGTCCCATGGAGAAGCAAGAAACAAAAGTAGTGGCTAGGTCTAGTGTTGAAGCTGAATATAGAGCAATGTCTCATGGAGTGATTAAGATTATGTGGATAAAAAATTTGTTGGGTGAGCTGGAATTTACGATTGATAGTCCCATTACTTTGTATTGTAAAACAATCAACATTGTAGCCAACCCAATTCTCCATGATAAAACCAAGCATTTCCTTTTTTTTTTTTGAAAAAGGTTAGGTATTTTTATTGAAAAAGAAAGGAAAGAAAATATACAAGAAGTATACAAAAGGTAACAAGGCCAAACAGGCATTGAAAGAATCATTCCCAACCCAGGAACACCCACTCAAGGGCCAAAARCAGCAAAGCAAAACAACACACCAAATAGCATCCCACAACAGGGCCCCGGTCTAACCTAAACTGGATAACCAAAACACACCTCGAAAAAAAAAGAGGGCAGAAAGATGACTATTGGCAAATCCATCAGCCCCTCGGGCAAGGAAAAACTTGTTAGTGGGGAAGTGCGTACACCCTATGTCAATTCCAAAGAGMAACTTGTGGGCATGATTAACATCTATGTTCTAACTTGAGGGGGAGTGTTGAAGGCTGTCTTAGGTCCACCCTAGGCGGGTACCTAAGCATCATCTAGGCGACTAAGCGGTTTTACAGTGTCGCCTCGCCCAAACACCTATAGTTTTGTATATTAGGCGACCGCCCAGAGACTTACGCAGGCGCCTAGGTGACTAGGCAGGCGCCTAAACACAAGGTGGGCGCCCCATGGTCGCCTAGCCTCACCTAGTCACCTTGACAACTATGCGTAAGGGGCAAAATTGTATTTTACTTTAKTTTTTGATCACCCTAACATAAATACCAAATTACCAATGCTAGCACTACCAGCACAACTTTTGGCTCTCAATCTTCTTCTCTCCTCTCCTCTCTCCTCCTCCTCTCTTAGAGCTTTCTACTTATTGCTTTTAGTTTAATAAAACTAACACCCTTTTGCCTACTTCTCGACCTTTCCTTACTCCACCAAGATTTTACTTTTTCCTTGAATTGACGATCCTCCAACCACATATTCTCAAAAAGAAACAATGATAGACCACCAAACAACAAATCCTGTCCTAGAGAGATAGGGCAAYTGTCTGATACCCTAGGCAAGGACCTAGTTAGGTTTTCCCACAAATCTTCCCATTCTACCAAGCAAAGGAACCTCTCCAATTTGGAACATATTGGGTTGGCTTAAAAGTTTGACCATGTGTAATCAGCTTGTAAAAATGGGGATTCCTTCAACTTAAAGATCTCAATCAAGTTATTAAATTTCCTCATGTTGAGAGTAATACCTTGGTTTGAGTTGTTTATTTACCTTGAAAATCTTAAAACATTGAAGTCTCCCCTAGACACCATGGTCCCCCCACAACCCTCTCACTACACTCAACTCCTCCCAAAGTCGGTCTCTCTCTACAAGAATTTGGGCCRTAGACAGGTCGGAATTCATCCCCGCCCATCATTAGCTCCTTTAATTTTAAATAGAGACCAAATAGTTCCCAATTAGTTCCTCTAGGCACTCCATTTCCTCATTTTCCATAAAGTGGGTATTCCCCCTAAAGTTCCCCAAGAAGGTGCAAAGGCCCAACTTAACCCTCTAGTTCGCCGAATGCTTCTAATCCACCTCCTATCTATCTTTGAAAGTTTAATTTCTTGGACCATAAACATATGTAGCTTCTCTTTCCCTAAAACACACCTTATTAGTCTTCTTTTCCTTGCACTCCCTAAACCCTCAAATTCTAACTAATGATCTTCATTTTCTATTAGACTAAGGACCTTCACAATTTCCTTTCCCCTTCCAATTCCAACTAATGATCTTCATTCTCTATCAAACTAGGACCCTAA